AATGCCTAGAATATACATAAAAATAAAAATACGAGGTTTTTAATGGTGGTTACTTCTGGCAGGGAATAAATTTTGGAGAAACCAAACACTGGACCAGAATTGTGATTTATCCATAGTGTCAGGATTTTCTTAAGCATCAAGAATATTTAATTAATATATTTGAGTACAACTGAGGACAGAAATGATAGCTGTGCAATATTCATATAGTCACTGCTAGTGGAAGTAATGGAAGAAGCCTGAAATCCTAAAGTCTTAGCACAACAAAAGTTTATTTTTCACACACATAAAATTCGATGTGAGTTAATGGGGGTCTTTGCTGTCAGGGGACCCAGGGATCCAAGCTGCTTCTATCATGTGGTGCCACATCTCATCATGACAACTCCATGTTTGCTGCTGAATAAACTAGAATGCATAGAACTAACATACTGATTCTCAAATGCTTTGGCCTGAAAATGACAAGTATGGCTTCTGTTCATATTTCAGTGGCCCTTTTTAACAACAAATGGACTCTGGGATATAGTCTCCCCATATGCCCGGGAAGGGCAGCAAAGCAAGTGGATGGAAACTTGCAGTCTCTCCCACAATCTATTACCTATTAGGTGCTCAATAAAAAGCTAATATAAAACTTTATTTTGACAACAATTTCTATGCCTGGAGAAGTTTCTGAGAAGGCCAAAATTGCCTTGCAATTTGGGAAATTTTTCTAGTGTGTACTGTGTGACAGTTGTTTTCAAATGTAGGATTACACAAATTTTCTAAAGAGCCATGAAAATCTCAGCAAGGATGATCCTTTGTCTCTCATCACAAAATAGTACCTTTCTCTACTGACTTTTGCAATACTCTGAAAATATGGATGCTGGTATTCTTCCTTTTAGTGCATGGTCTAAATCATAACTTGGGAGTCTCTGCTACCACCTGATTAAACATTTGTACATTGTGTCTTTACACACACTGAAAAGTAGGATTTTCCCCTGGGGCAAATAAAAACAAGAGTCAGGAGAATTATGGTGAATTTATTCTTTTCTTATCAAAGCTGGTATGTCTGCCAAAGACACATTTTCTACATCAATAGTAGGCTGAATAATTGCTTCACAAAGATGCTTATACCCTTATCCCTGAAAAATGAATACACTTTGTTATACGACCAAAGGCACTTTGCAGAGCATTGAAGGTTATGTAACTAAACTTAAAATAAAAATATTATATCAGATTATTCAGGTAAGTCCAGTATCATGACCTGAGAATTTATAAGCAGAGAACTTTCTCTAGCTGGAAGCATAAGAGAGATGCAGCAGAGGAGGAAGTTAGAGAGATTATAGTGTGAGAAGAATTCAGCCTACAACTGTTGACTCAAAATATATGAGCCTACATTCAAGGACTAGAGAGAGGCCTGCCAGCTCCAGCTGACAGCTAGGAAACAGGACTTCAGTCTTATTACCACAAAGAACTGGATTTTGTCAACAACCTGAATGAGTTCAGAAGAAGAATCTTCTCAGAGCCGTATAAGAAGACTTCCAGCTGAAAGCTTGATTTGAGCCTTGTGAAAATCTAAGTACAGAATCTAGCAGAACAGCTCCATCCTTCACACATACAGAAATGTAGACAATAAACCCTGCAAAGATAACAAATGCGTGCTGTTGTAAACCACTAAATTTGTGGTAATTTGTTACAGCTACCATAGAAAAGTACTACAACTTTCTGGAAAGACTACAGAATTGATAAGAATTCACCCTCTTCAGATGGTTGCTACACGGTGATTTCCTTTGTCTTTCCTCATTTAACACCTAGGAGGGAAGCTTTAAATTTTGGCCCTTAGTTGGGCTCATTCATCAGTGTATAGATTGAGTAGCAACATTCAAAAAGTCACCTGATTAAAACCTCTCTCCAATCTCACCTGTTTTCTAAAACCTCTTCTTTACTTTAGGATTCTATCTCTGCTTCAGGATAAAATATCAGCCAACTCTGTACCAAAACAGACTCTCCTCACCAGCAGATTTGAAAACACTTTGAGTGTGGTGGAGGCCCCTAGAGACGAAGTGGTACCTAAGCTTTACTATTTGAAGTGAACAATTACACAGAAGAGGCTGTTGCTGCTACGGGAATCCAAGGTGAGGGTTGGGACTTTTAGGCAGTTGGAAGCTTCTATGTCCAAGAAAAGGTAGGCAAGTCTGGGCTGTCTGTTCCTCTGGGAGCAAGTGCAGGCTCCAGAGAAGGACACAGTGGAGCTGGCCAGCAGGTCAGTTCCAGTTCCGGCAGGAGGACACACTGGGGAAGACTCAGGGGAAGGGCAGGATAATGTAGGAAAATGCTAGACCGAACTCATGTGAAGGGACCAGGGTAGACTCAGCTCCAGAAGAAATTGGGGCTAAAGGTGGGAGGACACCAGGCCAATGAATCCCACAGACAGTCAAAGATTGTGTCTCATTCTCATTCTCACCTTCCTTTTTAGGGCCTGCTTTTAGTGTTTTGACCACAGGGTCTTTCTTTTCTTTGTCTGAGAGACATTGTGGAGTAGTGAGAAGATAAATGAATTAATAGACCCAAGATCAGCTTCAGGCTGAGACGAGTGGAACAGTGTGGACTGTAGAGGAATTCAGAGCAGGAGTTCTCATCTCAGCCCTGTCACTTACGTGTGAACTCCAAAACTGCAAAGTTCTGTGAGCCTCAAGTTCTTTGTGAAGTGGGCTTGATGCAGTCATTTTGTTCTTTGGCTCAAGTATACCTTGTGAAGTCTGACTTTTAGAATGTTAGATATTTGTGTAGGGCAGCTGACACGGTGTTAGTGTGTACTGGGTTTTTGATAACTAAGAGATTTTACTATTATATTTTAGATTGCAAACACTCCCAACGTTCCCTCTTGGAAATTTTTAATTTACTTTTCATCCTGGAGATGTTAAGAGAATATGCAACCCTCTAGGACATGGAAAACCAAATCAATCAAAATGCTTCTTAGCAAGAGAAAGTTACTTACTTGATAAGAATCTTTTTGAGGATATACATTTTTTATATTATGTGTTGGAAGAATCTTCCCCAGCTAGATGCAGCTCAGCTAGATGCTCCTAGAAAATGTGTCAAGGACTTCCTCATTCATTCCCATCAAAACACCTATCCCTTGCTTTGACTTTGCCAAATTACACTCAAGATAACCTAGTATAAATACCCTATTAATAGAATGGACTCTGCCATGATATGAATGTGTCTCCCAAAAAGACAAGTGGTAGACACTTAATCCCCAATCCAACAGTATTGTGAGGTAGGGCCTGATGAGAAGTAATTAGGCCATGAGAACTCTTCCCTTATAAATGGATTAATAACTTTATCACAAGAGTGGGTTTGTTTCAAAAAGGTATATTTGATCCCTTTTTCTTTTGCTTTCTCTTTCTCACTGCCTCACTTTCTGCCATGGGATGGCCCAGCAAGACATCCCTCCCTAGGTGCCACCAAACACCTCAATCTTGGACTTTCCAGCTTCCACTACTGTGAAAAAAATTATTTTCCTTAAAAGTAACCCAGTCTCTGGCATTCTATTACGGCAACACAAAATAAAATAATACAGGCTCTGTCTTTCCCAGGCCAGAGCAAAGAGTGTCAGTAAAGTGGCTTCTGAGCATCCCATGTTAAAACAGTACTACTCTTATTTCTCAGAAACTTGCTAGAGATGCTGTGCACAGAACACATGGTTTGTGGTCTGTGTTCAACTGCATTGGAGTTAGGGCAGTACAGGAAACCTTTCATTCCTGTCACAGGTGAAGATTTCCTTCTGGTTTATCCATGAGCCCAAGCAAGTGCTATAACTGCTTGTCCATTCCAGACCTTAGTCTTTCAACCCTGGACATGTCTTCAGAGAGAATAGCCAGTGCTCACCACTCTCAGAACCTAATCTGACCAACCAAGCACAGTGGCTCACACCTGTAATCCCAGCCCTTTGGAAGGCTGAGGCAGGCAGTTGCTTGAGTCCAGGAGTTGAAGAACAGCCTAGGCAACCCGGCGAAACCCTATCTCTACTAAAAATATAAAAATTAACCAGGCATGGTAGCATGCACCTGTAGTCTCAGCTACTCAGGAGGCTGAGGGAGGAGAATCACCTGAGCCCAGAAAGTTGAGGCTGCAGTGAGTTGTGATCCCACCACTGCACTCCAGCCTGGGTGACAAGAGTGGGAAACACACACACACACACACACACACACAAAACTGATTTATACTGAAAGACTTTCAATTTTCCAAGCCTCCAATCCCACTTGTCTTAAGGCATTTATATTTGATGTTCTCATCTAGATAACCCTCACCCTACATTCTCACTTTCTTTAACTTGTCCTTTAGGTCTTAGTGGTTATCTCACCATATTCCTTATAAAATATCTACTCCTAGATTCTAAAACCCAATCGGCACAGGTAGGTCTTCCTTATCCTGACATCCTAGCACAAGGCCTTCCAAAGAGCAGATGCTTAATTAATGTTTGAGGAATAAATGAGCCAATGTGCAAAAGGTCTAATGTATTACAATGTAATTAATTATATATTCTTGAATAATGTAAGCCTATCCTGGCATATATATTTTAATTTTACATAGTAACAGAATAAAAGTCAATAGGGAATGCAATAATTAGCCATCCTTTACTCTTTTCTCTATTTTTTGATCCCATTTATTACACTCCTAAATTATTTCACATTGAATTAGAAAATGCCTGATTTACTACCATGCTATTGTGTTTCAATCCCTAAATAAATGAAGAGTTTCCCAATTAGACTTATAAAACAATAAATTGCTTACTCTTAATCTCGCATACAGAAAAATTTAGCAATGTCATTCATAAACTTAGATACTGATGATACTTTAGCCATCTATTAAAGGAACAACATCTTAAAAATATTCCAAGTCACCACATAGAACATGAGCGCAAACATATTATTCACTGTGCTGTCTCCAGCCCCACCCTGACCACCCACAGCTCAGAATGTGGATTTCTTTTCAAACACCAAGTAAAGAATCTGCCTCAGACTTTACTGCAGTTGGGAGGGGTTGCTGGACTTAACCTTGGAACGTGCATGGGCCATGGCAGTAATGCGAGCCTTGGCTACAACTCTGGCTCTGGCTCTCTCTTCTTCATCTTGCAAAGCCTCTGTATACCAGGGTGAGAAGTCACTGGGAACTGCATTATTTACCTTGGCCAAAAACTCAAGAACTTTCATCTTGCTGGTTTCAGCATGGGCTCTTGGGCCCCATAGGAATTGATAGCATGGAGGATCACTATTGGGCACTTGCTGGTACTCCAGGTAATTTTCTTTCACCAAATCTTTGGTTAGGAGCTTCCTGGGCTCCCCAAAAATGATGTGCTCAATTCCATCATGTAATCGCATCATATTAAGCACTTTCCAGACTTGCTCCTCAGTGGCACAATTACCCTTTGTGAAGATAATACCCAGGACAATCATCAGCAGGCCAGTCTTGGGCACGCTTGGCTCATCACTGAGCCCTACATCACAGCCCGGATCTAGTTTGTTGACAAGAACGTAGATGTGCTTATTAGGCTCCACTTCCTTCAGGTCAAGACCAAAGATCAGCTCCAGGTGCTCAGAAGCTCTGCTCAGAATTATAGGGAATTGGCTCTTGGACATTTGGGTTACATTTCTGCCTTTGTAGAAGCATATCTGCCTTTGTAATGGGCTCTTTCATTTGGTACTTGAACAGCAAGTAATGCACCAACATAACTACTTTCTCACCTAGAAGGCCTCTGGGAAAGTTATCAGTGGCTGCTGGATCTTGTGTGCAACTTGGTCTTTCTTCCATTTGATCGTTGAAACCTTTGGTATGTCTTGTGTGTGAAACAGCTGTAGCAGATGTACTGGTGGATAGGGCTCCCGAAAGTCCATCGGGATTGTTGGATGTCCCATCAAGTGAATGCTGGGCAACATCCTTTGAACAAACAGAAGTGGGGGGCGGGGGATGTTCTTCCTCCTCTTCTAAAATGGCCAGAGCACTCAACAGATCTTCCAGACCTCCGCGGGCCTGACGGCGTTTTTCCCTGGCATGGAGTTTACTCTTTTGACCTCGAGGCATGATGATTGTCTTCAGGTTCAGCAGCCAAAAGAGCAGGTGATCCTGTGACCTGGAGGTGAGAAGATGAACTGGCGCATGACCATTCGGCAGAGATACAACTTTAGCTTTATTGATGGCCACCTCTGCAAGTTTTCTTGGTGCATTACTCAAGGAAAAACAGGCCCCTATTCTTTGATTTGCCTGCCCCGAGTACTCTGTGAAATAACTAGGGTGTGTTTTAGGTTGCTACCTGCCAGATCTGCCTGGGGTTTACTGGGTGGTGACAGCAAGGCCTGGCAGGTCCAGGCTTTATGGAGGCCCCTTTGTTCTTGGGTAGGGACTCTTCTTAGTTCACATTCAGAACTGTCCTCTTGATTTCTGGCAAATTCTGGGATCCCTTTACTGACCCCTCATTTCAGTCCCCTCACTTCCCTGCTACCCTGGTGGAGAAAGTGAAAGAGAAATTCATCTGACCACACCCGCCTGAGGACATCCAGGATGACTACAATAGAAAAGCTCTGAAGGACCTCCTATATTCTGGGTCCTTGGTGTTCTCATTCTTCACTCAGGGTTTTCACCTTGGCTTCTGGTAGGGCCTGGGACTTTACCCTGTGATGGCCTGAGACCTATCCCCTCAGAGCAAGGCCTTCACATCTGGAGTTCCAAAAGGAGAAAGTGAGAGAGACCCCAGCCTAACATATCTACCCAGTCTCTCAGGGTTGACAGCATAGGTGGGACCCTGTGCTGTCCCCTTTTGATCTGGAGTGGATGGTTCCCTTAGAACTCAGGATTCTTTTTCCTCTTTTGAGGCCTTGGGACTCCTCCTCTGCTGACAAGAGGTTGAGACTTAGGTCCAATGCCCTCCCTTCCCTGAATTCTCACCAGAATTCAAAGGGTGCTTCATCAGGCCCTGTCCTGCACCTGTCATGAATCCATGGGGTCCCAGTCTTTTGGAGTGGAAGTCTCCCTCAAATGTCACTCAAGATCCTTATATTCCCTTTTGGCAAGGCTTGGAAATATCTCCTATGAAAACCTAAACCTCTACACTTCTTTGAGAAAGCAGTAATGGAATTCAGAATATGTCACAATAGCCACTCCCACCTGGGGCCTCCCTGGGCTGAGAGCAGGGGCAGGCTTTGTTATGAACCCCTCTCTTTTCTGGTGGGTGGTTCCCTCTGATCTCACTCAGTTTCTTCACCTTTACTTCTTTTGGGGACTGAGACTCTTCCATCTGCTGGCCTGAGGCCATAACCTTGATCCAATGTTGTCTTCTTCTTCAATTTCCAAAGGAGTAATTCAGAGGGTGCCATATAAGAGGTTTTTTTGCCCAAGGTCTGCTACCACTAACAGCAAGGGCATGGGTCTTACCCTTAAACCTCACAAAGGGTCTTTATCTCACCTCCTGGCAGGGCCTGGGACTCCTCCCTCTGCTGATTTAACACCTCCCTCTGGCACCAATTTTTTAACTTCCGTAAAACTCCAGAGGTGGAACTCAGAATGTTACATCTGGCCACTCTCTTCATGGGCTTCTCAGGCCTGACAGCAGGAGCCTGGATGCTGTGGGGCCCTTCTGATCTGGCGTGGATGGTTGCCTCAAATATTAGGGTCTTCGCCATCACTGTTGGAAGGTATGGAACTGTGCTTCCTACTGGTTTGATGCCAAAGCGTGGTTCAATGCTGTCACCTCCCGGAATTCTGGGAATTCAAAGGGCACTACATCAGAGGATCCCTGTCCAGGGCATCCTGGGGCTTACACAGGGCTGAGATTCTGTTGACCCTTCTCTCTTCTTGTATTAAGAGTGTCCTCAGATCTCACTTAAGATCTTTAACTTAACTCCTGACAGGGCCTGGAAATCTGTGGAACTCTCTTTTCTGCTTATTTGAGGTGACCCTTCTCAAAGCATAAGGCCTTCATTCATCTGAGAAGTTAGAGTCAGAGTTGGGAAGCCAATTCTAGCCACCCTCATATGGGACCTAATGCTGAGAGCAGCGGTGCAGCTCTTAGAAGTGAGTGGGTGGCCCATGTTTTGTGGGAGTGGGGAATTCTGATAGAACTTGCATAGGGGTCTTTCATTGATTCTGGAAGCGGAGCTGGGACTCCTTCTCCTGATCTGAGTCACTCAGCTTTAAAACAAAGCCTTCATCCCCAGCCACTTCATCCTGCAGTCCCATATCCCTGGACTACAGAGGGTGAAGTGAGGAGGCTTCTGGACCTAACATCAAGGCATTGGCTTAGAAATGTTAACAGCAGGAGTGGTCTCTGTGCTGGGCAGTCTGTTATGGAGTGGGTGACTCAAAGCTTCATTGAGGTCTTCATTTTTATTCCTTTCAGAGTCTGGGACTCCTCCCTCTGTGGAAAAGGACCAGGATAATGACACCCAGTCCAATGCTTCCACCTCACAGTGAGAAGTGATGTAAATTTTATGACAGAACATGTGATAACTTTGTAGATGGCTAGTGAAGAATCCCCCTTTATAAAAATTTTCAGTTAAATCAGGTCAGGATTATAACAGTAATGAAGACAGAGATTTGGATTCCATCTATACTTGTTACCTGCAGTCAATTCAATAAGGAACTGTAGCATGTACAATGGTTCTCCATCTACCCTACTTGCCTTGAAAACCAGCACCCCACTAAAGTGTTTGGTGGCAACAAAGGCCATCCGACACAGCAACAAAAATCCGCCCTCTGTTCTTCAAAGAAATCAGTGATGGTGGGAAGTATTTTGAGCTGGGGTTAACATCTGGATCCTTTTTTTTTTTTTAATTGCATCTTAGGTTTTGGGGTACATGTGAAGAACATGCAAGATTGTTGCATAGGTACACACATGGCAGTGTGGTTTGCTGCCTTCCTTCCCCTCACCTGTATCTGTCATTTCTCCCCATGCTATCTCTTCCCACCTCCCCACCCCCCTGTCCCTCCCCCATTTTCCCCCAACGGACCCCAGTGTGTAGTGCTCCCCTCCCTGTGTCCATGTGTTCTCATTGTTCAACACCCGCCTATGAGTGAGAACATGCGGTGTTTGATCAAGAAAAGAAAACTTCATGGATGGATCCTTTTTTAAAGACATATCCACACTCAACCTTGTAGTTACAGTCAGTGAGGTAGTTAGTTTCAAGAAATCCCTCCTCAAATGTCCCCCTCCTTGAATCTACACTGTGGCACTACTCATTGGTATTACTTGCCCTGTTTTAACTACCATTAATCACCAATCACATCAACTTGTACAGCTTCAACCTCAGTGGTGGGATGGCCACACACACAAGGGGGATATATACTCTTCCTTATCAGGCATCAAGACAGCTCTCAACTCTGCTTCACTGGAAAGGGTGCACTGAACCACCATGGAAGTGAAGAGATGTAGCTCTCCCAGAATCAATTAATATCATCACTGGGTGATGCAGGGGAGCAAGCCATACTCTGCCTGAAAAGTGGGAAGGGAAGATTCTAGTAGAGTATGCCTCTGTCCAGGTCAGCCTACAAATTTTTGCTGGTAATGATGATTCAGAGATTGCCAAGCCTATTCATAAAAGTGTCCAAGACACCACCAGCTTTCTTACCTTTACTCCTTCTAGTCCCATTGCTACTCCATGCTGAACTCTGGGTACAGATCCCCGAGTACCCCCTGCCCTGAGTTCTCTGGACTTTATTTAGCTTGTGATCTCTCTCATGTATTCTTCATATTGTTCTAGTGCCCAGTTTTCCTGATATCCTTCACAAACTGAGGTTTTCCTGTTAAGGCACATTTCCTGGAACCTTGTCATTCTGAGTAAATCCTTTCTTCTCAAAGTAAAGAGAAATGCATTATTGAAATATCAAAATTCTAAGGCATGTGTCCTTAGGTGCATATTGTAGAGCAATATGTAAAGAGTTATCAATGTATATTTAAAACCCACAGTGGCCAAGCACAGTGGCTTCCACCTGTACTCCTAGCTACTTGAAGGCTGAGGCAGGAGGATTGCTTGAGCTCAGGAGGCTGTAGTGAGCTATGATCACACCACTGTACTCCGCCTTGGCAACAGAGACACCATCTCTAAAAATAATAGTAATAATAAACAAAAATTAAAAAGAAAAAGGAGCAAAGAAAAGAAACAAACAAAAAACCCTCACAGTGTATTTTTGTAGCACATGTATATAAGAAAAAGCCTAGAATACATTTTAAAATACTGCATGCAGGATTTAAAATATGTGGTTACATTTGAGGAGGGATTGGATTTTGGTGGGACATAGTAAGGAAGTGAAATTTTGATTTATTCCTATTGTTAGAATTTTTGGCAACAAGAATTTGTGCACTATTTTCTTTGTAATTAAAATATTTAAATAAGAATAACAATGGAATTAGTAGCTGTGTATTATACAGATAAAGTATGTAAGAGATGTGAGGGGAAAAGTCTGAAATCTGAATGGCTTAACACACTAAAAGTTTATCTTTTATGCAAATAAAATTTGACATTAATTAATAGGGTTTTTTTTTTTTTTTTTTTTTTTTTTCTGTCAGGTGTCCCAGGGATCCGTGCTACTTCTATAATGTGGCTCCATATCTCAGCATGGAACAGAAAACATGGAGGTGGCAGACTGGCTCTCAAACACTTTAATCTGAAAGGAAAAAAACATGCTATTGTTCTTATTTTAGTGTCAAGGGTAGTCACATGACCTTTCCTAACTACAAGTGGACTGGCAATGTAGTCTCCATATGAACCAAGGATGGAAAGCAAGACACAAAGTGGATGAGCACTTGCAGTCTGTCCAATTACCTATTACAATAGTAAATGCTCAATAAAAGCTACCATTTTATATTTATTGTGACAACAGCCCTCTTAAGTCTTGGAGGAGTTTCTGAGAATATCAAATATCTTTGCTAATCAACAAAAGTTCCTAGTGTCTATATGTGACAGGTAATTTCAAACCCAGGACCACACTAATTTTCAAAATGATCCTGTAAATCTCAGCAAGGAGGGTTCACTCCACTGCACTCAATAACATCTTTCTGTACTGACCTCTTCAATGACCTCTATAATCTC